GAGGACAGAGACGCAGCAGATTGGACGGAGACCGTGAGGACAGAGACGCAGCAGATTGGACAGAGACCGTGAGGACAGAGACACAGCAGATTGGACAGAGACCGATGAGGACAGAGATGCAGCAGATTGGACAGACACCAATGAGGACAGAGACAGCAGATTGGACAGAGACCGATGAGGACAGAGACGCAGCAGATTGGACAGAGACCAATGAGGACAGAGACACAGCAGATTGGACAGAGATCGTGAGGACAGAGATGCAGCAGATTGGACAGAGACCAATGAGGACAGAGACACAGCAGATTGGACAGAGACCAATGAGGACAGAGACACAGCAGATTGGACAAAGATCGTGAGGACAGAGACGCAGCAGATTGGACAGAGACCAATGAGGACAGAGACACAGCAGATTGGACGGAGATCGTGAGGACAGAGACGCTGCAGATTGGACAGAGATCTTGAGGACAGAGACGCAGCAGATTGGACAGAGATCGTGAGGACAGAGACACAGCAGATTGGACAAAGACCGATGAGGACAGAGACACAGCAGATTGGACAGAGATCGTGAGGACAGAGACGCAGCAGATTGGACAGAGACCAATGAGGACAGAGACGCAGCAGATTGGACAGAGACCAATGAGGACAGAGACACAGCAGATTGGACAAAGATCGTGAGGACAGAGACGCAGCAGATTGGACGGAGCAGTAAACCATCAGTGAATACAATCTTTTGACTTTAGAACATGCAGAAGTTCTTCGGTGTGACAGATCATCAATTCATAAATGATTCCCCATCAGACGGACGTTAGCGTTACATCAGCAGTCTTTGTGCTCTTCTAAGATCTAAGATCTGAACTAAACATGAACTTCTCCCAGAATAAATAAAACTATTTGTGCTTTAAACACCAAATTTAAACATGCAGAGTGAAGAAACTGATGCTAAGACCGTTAGCCTTTAGCTGTTAGCTGAGCAGCTACGGTCGTAATGTCTCCCTGGACGATGGAATAAAACTCCTCCCAAAACAAAAAAAGGTCCAGGATGTAGTCAGTACCAGTGTTTACAGACGGTCCTGATCCTCCATGACAAGACGTTTAGGTAACCATCATAAAGCCCAATTGATCCGATCAGCCGGCGCCACACGGTCAACAGTTGGTTATCCTCCAGAGCAGCTGGACTACAGGAAGGAGGAAGGTTCAGAGAGACGACACCCGGACCAGGCTAGCCTGGTAGTCATCGGTGGAACGGACTGATTCGTTGCCCTCGGGCGTGGCCCCCAGGGGCCTGGGTCTGCTGATGATGGCGGAGGTGAGGTACGGCTGGTTGCAGTTCAGAGGAAGCTTCTCCTCCAGTTTGGCATTCAGACTGGATTGACTGGAAGAGAAGAAACAAACGAGTCAGAGAATCTGAGTTTAGTGGTCGTCCAATAATCAGATTATCAATAAAGATCTGATCGTGTACGGCTGTGGTCCTCTGAAGGTTAGTTAAACTTTAGCTAACCCGCGCAGCTAAAGTTTATTATTAGTAAAACTTTAGCTAACATGTGCAGCTAAAGTTTAGCATTAGTTAAACTTTAGCTGCACATGTTAGCTAAAGTTTAGCTAAGAGCTACAGAAGTCTAGCCCAGCTGACTCTTCCTGCGTCAGTCAGAAACAGGAAGTGAACAACAGAAGGACGTTGGTGTCCCAGGTGTCCACGTTCAGGAAAAGTTTCCCAGCCCTGTCCACAGCTGGACTTTCCTCCGCCTGACTTGGCATGATTCCAGTCACATGACCCCTGGGGGATAAGCTGAGATTCGTCTTCATTTATCTTTTAAATAATTTGTTTTATTTTAATTAAATTTGTTCACAACTGCTGAACACTTTGAAATATCAGGAACAAACTGGATCTTTGTAGCCCACAAGGATCCAGAACTGAATCTCTGAGAAGACCTTTCTATGACGTCATCGTTAAAGATATCCAGAAGTTTCCTCCAGAGACCTGCAAAGATTCTGCTGAAACACTGAAGGGCCAATCCAGGACCAGGACTGGAGAACCCACCTTTAAAAGTGACTTACACTTTATACAGTTAAAATAAAGTTTATAGAGTTAAAATAAAGTTTATAGAGTTAAAATAAAGTTTATAGAGTTTAATATAAACGCTTGTTACGCTAGACTTGGCTCCGTCTTCACATCTGGGGGGGGGCACGGCCCATCAGAGTGCATCAGTGGGGTGACCATGTGTGACCTCACTGGTCTTATCCGTTTCTGATGGTGCATAATGGGGTGATGTACAAATCCAAGTGTTGGAAGGCAGCAAAAACAAAAAATGACTCCTTATCAGAATCAGAATAAACTTTATTGGCATTGCACCGAGATACAACGAGAACATGTACGTACAGTCGTCCGAAGATGGGCGGAGTGCACGAAGCTGCGGCTAAAAATAATGAGCGCGGCCTCTTATTCTTATTCAGAATAATATTTTGCTTAGATAAGAAAAGGAAAGAAAACATGAGGAGAGACGGTATAAAAAAAGATCTCTCACACCGTGTTCTAGACAGGGCACGATTTGAGGCATCAAAAAAACAGCCCCTCCCAGAACTGTGCAGGTGTTCCCCAACCAAAAACCCTGGTTTAATGGAGACGTTAAACCAAAAATCAGAAAGCGGAGGGAGGTCTTCCAGTCAGGAGGTCTTCCAGTCAGGAGGTCTTCCAGTCAGGAGGTCTTCCAGTCAGGAGGTCTTCCAGTCAGGAGACCTTCCAGTCAGGAGACCAAGAGGAGTAGAAGAGTGCCTGATAAGACCTGCAGAAGTCCATCGGGGCAGCAAAAAGGGCTCATTAAGAAAAGCTTGAAGGCCACTACCTCAACCAAAACATGTGCAGCATGTGGCGGAGAATTCAGTCTGTCACGAACTACAGGAGAACCACGACAACCACAACCTTTATTTAGACGGGTAAATCCCATTGAGCCTCGAGGCCTCATTTACAGGAGAGACCTGATTTTAACAAAGAATGATGACAACAATGGACAACAGCGACAACAATAGACAGTTATAAAGAGGAGTACAGTTTTTTTTTACAAATAAGATGCAAAAAAAGTAACAAAAACAGCTAGATTCTAAGGTGAATGTAGAAACTAAAAACAGGAACATGTCTGCATTGGTCCCTGCCAGGAGTCCTACAGATTCTTAAAGTCACTTGGAGAGGTCAAAGGTCGAGATCCCCAAGAGGACACCCTTCCAGACAGCCTCAACACGTCTCTGCCAGGTTTGACAGCTGAACACAGACACACCCTCAAGGGACCCCGTGACCCCAAAGACACTGCCTTCCAGGTGACACACACAGGTCCTGAAAACTCTGAAGAAGGTGAACCCCCACAAGGTTGGGGGACCTGATGGAGTTCTTCTCAGAGTTCTGAAGGACTGTGGGGAACAGCTGGAGTATATGCAAACATCTTCAACCTGTCAACCCAGGCAGTAGTCCTCCGCATTTTCAAATCCAGCATCATCATACCAGTTCCCAGAAGTCCAGACACATCCACCATCATCGACTACAGGCCAGTGGCACCAACATCTGCCACTAAGAAGTGCCTAGAAAAACTGGTTCTAAACTGGTTCCACTAGCATCGCTCTTAGCCAATGAGCTGCTTCCAAATGGTGCATTGTCCCGCCCAACACCTCCGACTCAGAGTGCGGGTCTTCTTCTTTCTTTTCAGCCACTACTTGAGCGCTGAGAACACCCAACTGAACAAAGGGGTTGGATTTAGTATTAACCTTTGGCTTATCTGTTTCTGAGTTAGAAATTGGGGATGCAGTTTTCTCTGACCACATACCCATTTCTTTCAACACTTATTTTGTTAAGGAGTCCAAACCCCCTCCCCCTCCAGCCAGGCCTTGTAGAATATTTAACCCTTCCACTGCTGCGCTCTTTTCATCTGCTTTTACTAAAAACTCTCTCTCAGTCTGTGAATCCTCTTCCATGAACACCCATGAGCTACTCACTGTACATCAAGAGACCTGTGCTAAGGTGCTTGACCTAGTTGCACAATTAAAAATTAGGCATCCAAAGCGCACTCCACACCCTCGGATGAATGAGATCACTCGCGCAGCCAAACGTCAGTGCAGGAAAGCCGAATGTAAATGGAAGAAGGACAAACTTCATGTTTCTTTTATCATGCTAAAAACGTGTTACAAAGATATCCTGATGCTGCTCAATAATCCAGGTAGAAAAATCTAAAAAAGTTAAATCTGGTCCTCTGGACATTCAAAAAAAAAAAAAAAACAAAGCAAAACAACAAAAGACAAAGAGTTACAAAGAGTTTGTTACAAAGAGTACCAGGCCACTGTTAAATCAGAAAAAAACAAATATTTCTCCCAAATCATGGCCTCAAACAGCCACAATCCCCTCGTTCTTTTCAACACCATTAACTCCATTTTAACCGTGCCTCAGTCTGACAACTGGGAGGTCTCTGCAGTTACATGTGAGGACTTTGCCAGTTTCTTTGTTAAAAAGGTTGAGTCGATCAGGTCACTGATTCCTCACACCACAGCTGACCCCTCTGTCTTTGTCCCCTCCACATCAGTCTTTAACCAGTTTGAACCAGTTCCCTCTCATTTCTAAATGATGTCACTGGTCATATGAAACCCTAAGGTTCCCCTGCTGACCCCATCCCTGCATGGTTTTTTAAACAAGTCCTTCCCTCCACTGGACCCTCTGTTCTTGACATTATAAACAGCAGTATGGCTACAGGTGTAGTTCCTGACGCTTTTAAACATGCAGTGGTAACTCCTTTAACAAAAAAAACCTGGACTTGACACTTCAACCTGCTCAAACTTCAGACCCATCTCCAAACTTCCCTTTCTTTCTAAGATCCTGGAGAAAATAGTTTTCACTCAATTAAATTAGTTCTTGAGTGGAAATTCTATTCTTGAGATCTTTCAGTCTGGCTTTAAGAAACTACCAGCACTGAAACAGCCTTAGTTAGGGTCTGCAACGACATTCTTCGGGCAAATAACTCTGGTCAGTCTGTGGTCCTGGTACTCCTTGAACTTACCGCTGCATTTGATACTGTGGACCACAGTATCCTTTTATCCCGACTAGAACACTGGGTTGGGATTACTGGTTAGAATGGTTCCATTCATACCTGAGCGACAGGAGTTTCTGTGTTAATTTTGCTAACACTATCTACTTCAGTGCCTCTTTCCTGCGGGGTCTCGCAAGGCTTCATTCTTGGACCCCTTCTGTTTTCTTTGTATCTCCTCCCCTTAGGGTCAATCCTGAGGAAACATGGTCTTTCCTTTCATTGTTATGCTGATGACTCTCAGATTTATCCGTCATTAACACCTAACAGTTTCTCCTCCATTCACCCTTTTTTTAAATGTCTTGATGACATCAAGACTTGGATGGCTGCGAACTTTTTGAATTTTAATGATCAGAAGACTGAGGTCATTGTGTTTAACCCTAGCTCTGCCACTGTCACTGATCCTGCAAACCTGGACTCCCTTCAGCCATATCTAAAACAGTCTGTTACCAGTCTTGGGATAGTTTTAGACTCGGACTTTAAGTTTAATAAGCAGATAAATTCTGTTCTTCGAAAAAGCTTCTTTCAGTTAAGGCAGATAGCAAAGCTCAAGTCTGTCCTGTCCAGATCCGACCTTGAAAAATGAGTCCATGCATTTATTACAACCCGGCGGGACTACTGTAACTCACTTTATGCTGGGGTCAGTCAGGTCTCTCTCTCACGTCTCCAGCTCGTCCAAAATGCTGCAGCTCGGCTACTAACAGGAACTCACAGGTTTGAGCACATTACTCCAGTTCTGTCCTCTCTTCACTGGCTTCCTGTGCGTGTCAGAGTTGATTTTAAGATTCTTCTGCTGACATTCAAGTGTGTTAATGGCCTTGCACCATCATACCTCTCTGACCTCCTTCATCCTTATACTCCTTCTCTGGCCTTGAGATCATCAGACCAGCTGCTTTTGGCCGTACCAAAAACCAGCTGAAGCTCAGAGGAGATCGGGCGTTTTCAGGTTTGGGCCCTAAACTCTGGAACAATCTGCTCATCAACATTTGACAGGCCACCTCAGTCTCTATTTTTAAAACTCTCCTCAAAACACATCTGTACTCACTGACACACCTGTACTCACTGACACACCTGTA